ACCAAAGATGCCTTTTATTGGTATCAAGGTATCTTCGGTACAACAGTTAGTAAATTCAGCCTCCATGACAAAACATCTCCAAATTGACTTCGTCGGGGTTTAAAATATGGTTGTCTGTATTACTAGATTTAGGCACAAGAAAATTTATCAAGTTGTGATTAATGATCGACTTGGACTATCGGCTCAGACCAATATCTTATAGCAGCTAAGATACGTACCCGCCTCTGTTCAGCAAAGTATGCAATCACAACCGACAGCCAAACGGTTTTTTACTCGACAGGCGCTCCTGCTCTCTGAGAGCACTTATCTGCAACTCGTATACGGGAACTGCGGGACGGTATTTCAAACTCATTACGTACAGCTGCAAACGAAACTGTTGGTTTTCGGAAAGATCGAAATATCATATAGATTGCCAGATAAGCTTTTCAAATACGGCAACTAAGAACTGACAAGGTACATGCATCAGCTTTTTTACAGAATAAAGTCTGATGAAAGCATCCTCGACGATTGAAACCTAAGTGTGCTCTGCCCAATGCAGAAAAAGGAAATAAGATAAAACAGTGTCCTCAATATCAAATATAAGGTCCCTTCGTCCTTTTAGTTTTGGAAAATCCACGATTGACCAGATAAATTCGCCTTCGACCGCATGAATAGATTTGCCTCCATGCCGCTATGTCCGGTCTTGGCATCGCCATAAACACATATGGCTGTGTAAACTAACGTTAAGGAACACCAAAATTCATCAGAATCGCAAAGGACCTCTTCGAGCAAAACGAGGTTTCAGGGTGACTCCCTATTGAGTGACTTCTTCAGTCTATTGCTGGAGACAATAATACGAGCTGCAATTTAAATAGAAAAAGAATCTTCTACATATAAGAGTGTACAGCTGATGGCTGGAGGACAAGACAGATGTTTCTTATTTCAAACAAATACGCGGCTTGGCCCACACGTCACTGTTGACAGTCATAACTTTGAAGTCGTATATCATTTCGTCTCTCTTGGAACCAGCATTAACACCTACAACAATGTCAGCATTGAAATCCCACGCAGAATCACTTTAGCTAGTACTTTGGAATTGGTAGGCAAATGCAAGTGAAGTCCTCTCTCGACGAATAAAGGCAAAATTCTACAAGTCCCTAATCATTCCCGTCCTGCTATATGTATAGTGCGGAGGTATAGATAATGACAACATCTGATGAGTCAGCGTTAGGCGTTTTTGGGAGCAACGACTTATGATTGGCATTGGCAGGTTCAGGTAATCATGAGGTTGCGGCTACCCTGGCTATGTCACGTTGTCCGGACGTAGGAGAACACTCCCACTTAGAAAGTATTCGATGTAGTTCCTGTCAGTGGAAGCAGATAAGGAGGAAATTTTCCACTCCGTTGGAGAGATTAGGTGGAAAAGGACCTGGCCTAGAAAAAAGGGCTGGCGCTCTGTTATTAACTCAATAAGCGCGTAAGCACTGTCTACGCCAGTAAAGAAGAGCGCAACTCGGTAGTTAACAATTCATGTTATAATAATAAAGTAGTCGATATTCAATAACTTCCATCCGAAATATTACAACATAACGAATTTGATTAAAAATATAATCGCCGATTTTATTATGTTTCTTCAACGGAAGAAAGCCAGCGGCGGTGGTTAGCTACATACCTGTAATGCTATTGCTATGCATAAAATTATATAATAACAGCAGAAACTAGCACGGACGCGCAACAACACAACACAGCAAAACACGACACCACGACGTGAACGAAACAACTTTCAAATAGAAGCGAACGCTTCAGATATATCAAAAGACGTCTGAGACAATGAAAAGAAATAATATATATGTGAGTGTACGACTAAGAAGTGAACAAAACGGAAGAGTTAAACAAACAAAAATAAAATACTGATGAGTTTGGACAGGCACACCAAAAAAGCGATGTAACTAGTTTTCGTGGGCAGAAGATGACCGACCGTGCTACTTATAAGCAAACTCAAATAATAGTTTTCTCTTTCACTTTCGTTAATGAAGAGTATAAAACGAATGAAAGAAAAACGCTGGGGCATGAAGTGAACTGTGTTTACAAACGGCCGCGCCATAAAATTGTAGTGGAAACTTGCAGACATAATGCATAAAAGGCGAAAGAAATGAAAAAAACAATAACGAATTGCATGGAAAAGTAAACAGAATGCAAGCAGCATGCACTTGAACTTGTTACCTCTGTGCACTGCACTTGAGTAGCGCACGCAGACGCATAAGCGTTGTGCTTCGCCTTGCTTGTTCGCTTTATTTTATTTTCTAGCGTTTGTTGTTATTGTCGTCGTTATTTTTTGTCCACTTTGTAATAGCTATTGCATTAATACAAGCAAATTGGAGAATTTGTTTAATTGCAGTTACACCATAGTTGAAGCGCTGAGGTGGCCATGTCACCCACCCAGTAGGAACCGTAAAGTTGTCGTTTCAATGAAATCCCTAAATCATAAGTGTAAAATATTTCTTCTGTGTGATATCGTTGAAATTACAACTTTGTATGTTCTGGTTATGAACTAGTTACATATGCATGCTTCATGATATTGAATTAAACGTGATGAATTGAAACAAAAATTGTTGGGAAACTTACACGGTGATGGTGATAATAATAGGCATAGGCATATTAAATTATTAAACCAAGAGGCTTGACATTTAGTTCTCAAAAATTCTAATTATTTTCTTTAAATTTTCTGAGTATTTTGTTGAAAATTGTTAAAACTAATTAATAGTTAATTTATATACGCAAATTATTTACACAAACACATACGTAATTTAGTAAAGCAATTTTGCAATGATATATCAAAATTAAATAACTTTTAATTTTAGACTTTATTATGAGCAGTAATATATTTTGGAGAAGTAACGTTACATACCAATATTGTTCTAAATTGTTTGTATGTACTTCAGAGAGTAGTAGATTTCAGTTACATTTATATAAAATCCACTCGCCGGAAAATATATTACTCTCTCAAATACCGGGAACGCTATCGACACCAATTCATCAAACTGAAGAAAACGATTGCCGAAAACCCTCGAAATTTGCGACTAGACACGGAGTTGTGCCTCACCCGGCTTATAGCCCACCCCTTTCCCCTTTTAAGGGGGGTAGGGTTTCAAGGTAAAAAAAATACTTTTTTGAGAATTTTTTTCTTAAATATGGATTGAGTAATTTTATTCGGACCTTTTGTACATTATTGAGCATACTTTCGACAATATAGCGTAACTTTTCATGCAGGAATATTAAAGCATAAGCGGGTAACAGAGCTTCCCCCAGAACGTCTTGAGAAAGAAACAATTTGTGGTGTTCACCATAACTCGGCTGAAAATTACAATATCCAAAAAAAACCAAGAAAAATTATTTAAATTATGATCAAATCTTCACCCCACAACGTTCTCTGATACTTTTTTTTTCATTTAAAATTTTTTGGCGGCTATTTAAAGTGTAAACTGTTATTTGCCACAAAAAATTTCGCCATTTTGGGGGTGGAAAATACCATTAATGTAAAAAAAAAATTTTACTAAAATAGGGGGGCGGTATTTTATATGTCGAAAATGTGTATAAAGTTTGAAATGAATCGGTCAAGTAGTTTTGAAATGACAGTGAAAACGGACTTTGAAAAAGTAGTTTTGAGGAAAACGCGCCTAAAATTTATGAACTATTGGTTGGAGCGTTAAAGGCCAGGATATTAATAAGATAATAACTTTAAGTATATTGCTTCTATCGACCTAAAATTTTAACGACATATCCTTAAAATGTTAAGCAATAAGAAAAAAGAATCGATTTTTCGAAAGTAAAAACCCTAACCCCCTTAATTACAGTTTGTTCTGGCCGATGCAAAGCGCCCTCACTAATATATGATTCACATCAGAACAGGGTATCAAAAATTGGCTTAATTCATTTTCGGCCGCCAAGCCGGCTCAATTCTTTTGGGAATGGAATCCACAAACTTCTAGAGAAAAGAAGAAGGGAAAGTGTTATAACTTCATATGAACAATACTTTGAGTAATATTATTGAATATGTGTTTTTAAATAAACGTTTAAATTTTGAAAAAAAAACCTGCTGGAATTTTAATTTTTAAATTGTGGTATTAAGTATTTTATTTCACAATTGATTTTACATTTAATAAGATATTTTGTGTCTAGCGGCTATATCCTGAGGACTTTGCCTACTGACTGCTCACTATTATTGGAAGCTATATGATCACATTTGATGCAGCTGCACAGTTTTGATTAAATACATTCTCCATCTTCATATATTTCCTGCGAGTAATTACCCAGAAAGCCTTTTACAAATTTGCTTTAGATTAAGAGTAGGACATTTTAAACCCTTTAGATGTGAAAACTTTACATATAGTAGAGTGTGTCTCATTTAAGTCCGCGCTAATTGTATGATAAAAATAAGTTTAATAATTTGTTATTGGGCAATGTTTAATATTCAAGCAACTAAAAAATAATCAATAATCTTTGTAAATAAATCGCTTTATTATATCTACAAGTATATTTAATACGTAAGTCGTAACGGATAATTTCATTTGAACTTTGCAAAGCTACTAACTTCCAACAGTCCTCTTTGCTAAGAGTGAGCTCTGCAAAAACATTAGCGCTTTTCACTTTAAGTCAACGAAAACGTCATTGTGGTTTTGTTTTTAGTTCAATAATCAATAAAGTCTTTGCAAAACATGGCAAAGGCAGCTTTTTCTGCAAGACATTGTTTTAAATTGAAATCATCAGGCTAAGAGCGCTTTCTCTGCACTATGTAAGTGTGCAAATACACATAAACAAAATTTTATATACAAATATTTATTTGTTTTACTAATCTTTTGGTTTTGCAATTAAACATAATCTATATGCTCACTCAGCGAATTTGGTCACTAATTTTTGACGACATTTCTTTATTGAATTTTAAATTTAATGCTTGCATGCCGCAAAAGCACAGCGCTTACATACAGTAATTCAAGCACACACACCCATGCGCACTAACTCACCTTCATTTCGATGATTTGTTACTTGCTGTTGCAAGTGGCAAATAATTGTCTACGATATGCAGCCGGTGCTGAATATTTTACCCAAAGATGTTGAACTATTTACCAGTGAGTTGGCTTGATCAGCGCATTTGCTTTGCAGTTAACAGTTAAGTGGCGTTGCGTGTCAAATTAAAAAATAAATAGCTCGAATGCCGAAAAGAAAAGTACTAAGCAACGACAACGACGACGTGCGTTGCGTTCAGTAACAAAATCACTTTTACTCGCAGCCGTTCGTATAGATTAAATGTTGACCGAAAATGCCAACCAAAATCACTACAATAACGAAAAACAGTATTTATAATACACCGATTGCTTATCGTTGTTGTGAATTAACGCTTTACTGCTGCTGCCTTAATTTTTGTTGTTTTACACTGGAAGTGCGTTCGTTTTAGCATTCGTTTTCTGTTGTTTCCGTGGCTGCGCTTTTGTGCTGTTCGTTTCACTTAACTTTCGTTCCACAAGAAATAAACGCAAACAAAAATTTCATATGTTTTTGCTGGTCTTTTTGCTACTTCGGTCGGCACTTTGCAATGGCAACACTTTTTATTAAAATTTACAAACTTTTTTATTTTGCACTTTATTGCTTTTTATACTGCACTTTAACTGCTTTCTCGAGAAACCGCACACTTGTATTTGTTATATTGCTGCTTCTGCTGCTGTTGTAGTTAACTTAAAGTTGTTGCCGCTTGAACGTGTTGAACCAATCTGTTGTTCACTTTAGCGGAATCGGTGACTTTTAAAGTGACTGTTGCCGTATTACTGACGAGCGCTCACCTTCAACTCGCTCTCTTTGGGGCGCTTAAAGATTTGTTGCAGCAAGCCAGCAAGCAAATTGGGCTTGCATTGCAGCGCTTTGGCTCTCCGCAGCGGGCGTTCACTCGCCGCCAGACTTTGCACTCGCTTATACGCTCTTAATTTTCGTGTTGCTATTACTTTATCACCGCTGCTTTTGTTGTTTTTGGTTGATTTTTGTCGAAACAATTTGTTTGTAGCTTATGCATCTCGACCTGACTTTATTTCCTCGACGCTCCACAAGTGTGCCGATTGTGTTGGTTGAACATCTGATATCAGAATGTTGCAATAGCTTATCGGTGTGCTTTGTTGTTGTTTTATTTGCCTATGCAATTGATATTTAATCGGATTCGACTCAAAGATATAACAAAAGACTTAAGGCACGAACTTCTTGTTGGCCAGCGCGTCTGAAGGGAAGTGTTTGCTGAGCATGGCTGACTTTTATGACAAAATATATTTGTGGTCAGTGTGGGTAATTGGAAGGCAATATTTACAAATACCGACGGAATAATTTAGCCTCTGCAATGTTGCGATAATTGAGGAAGTATTTTGTGACAGTCTAAAAAAATCGATATATTTGTTTAGTGACCTTATACTAAAATCGACTACTAGGAGCTTAAGAGTTCTTCAAAATACTTTTATTTTAAGTGGAATGTGAACCATATACTGTTTTTTGGCAAATATAGCCTTGAATGTTAACTAAGGTCAATAAATTTTATAAAATTTTACAGAACAAAACTTAAGTTCTTTTTTTTTAATCATCGAAATTCGATCTTATTATTTTCTACAGTTGCGATGGCGAAACTTTGATTATAGAGATTTTCTATCTTCTCAATATCGCGTTTGTAGTAAAGAAGATTTTTGCTCCAAAACAGGTCTCACTCTAGGCGATTTCCTCTTCATTGCCGTTAATTTTTCTTTAGCTTTTCTTGTGATCTAAATCTCCAAAATATTTGCTATCTCCATCAATTTCATTTTTTGGCCATCAAAACCATTTTTTTTTTAATTTTTCGTCCATACATTTAGGGGAACTTAGCGAACGCACTTATTGCTGCGCCTGGCGCAGAAGCTAAATAATATTTATAATTCCATTTTTGGAATCGGAGGCGTTTGTATCCAACTTTATTTTTTTTAAATATCAATACTACGTAATAAAAGTAATACCCCTCACAAACATATTGTTCAACGCCTGTCGTGTCTTCTGTGTTTTGGTTTTTTGGTTACCGATTCGGAGTCTACGCTATTTTATAGAAGTTAAACATAGCTGCTCCCAAATTTCATTAACTAGAATGTCCAAGCATTCATCAATATGTGTCTGCGAATCATCTGCAGAATATTCTGGTCCAAAAATGTAAGTGATCAAGCGGTGTGGACACTAACAAAGGAAAAACCCATACTGCTGAAAATAAAAAATTTTTTCAGTTAATTACCACTAAAGTTCTAAAGTGGTTACTTTCGTCATGGAAGTGTTGGATCCTATCTAGCACATGTAGGTATTTAAAATGGGTTCGCCTAGTTAAAATGTTAAAACAAAAACAACAAGTGCAAACAATTGTGGAAAAGTTTATGGTGTGCATTTTTAGTTGTACAAACGCGCCAAAAGTGCATCTACCAAATCGAAAAATTGCATTAAATTTATAATTAACACATGGAGTTGCACCCAAGCAAAGACACCAAATGCTTCTCATAAAGATATGGTCGAGTTAACACCCAAGTTTTGTCAAAATTGTTTAAGTGATGTTGTTGCCATTTTTCACTGTTACATAATCCGGCACTATGCCGCAAAATTTTTGTTGAAATTTTTTATGGTGGCAGCTGCAAAAACGCTTTTGACAAGCGCTGCTCCAACGAACAACTCGAATTTTGGACGAACGCATGTTGCATATGGAAGCACATAAACACACACGTAAGTGCGAATTACGTCAATTTGCATAAGCCAAAGTATATAACTATATAAGTATAGACAGACTATGTGTGCGATGAGTACATGGACGCCACTCAGTCCGCACTCAGCTCAGCTCAACTGGATTACAGTGAATGTAGCAGACAGGCTAACAGCTGACTTTCGTTTGTGTAATGCATTTTCGGCTGCATTCAGTATGCCTTGCTCCACTGGAAGCTCTCATGTGGCATCACAATGCTTGCCACGCAGGAAATATTGTAAAATTACGAGATGTCGTCAACAATTGACTTTTGACTTTTCAGCTGATGAACTTTCCTTTGTTCTCCACCACTTTTGTGTAATAAGGATTTTATGCGCGAACTCATAAAATCGTGCGATATGTGTACATGTTTATATTTATACATATATATCATCTGGTATATACTTTACTGCTTACTTAATTATGTTAGCTTCTGTTGACACAGTGATAATGAACTTTTGTAGTCGTTGAACTCTCCGACTATTAATTTATTTAATACTTCTCTCACATATTTGGTTTTAAGCTTTAGCTAACCATATTACATAATCCACATACGCTTTACTTAGTTGCGCTCATTGAAATACTTGAAATGAGTCAATTAATCGGAAATATTAATTAGATGATGATGCCGCGCAAGCTGTTAAGATGAAATTAGGAAACCAAATTCTAATTATTTCCGCTTAATATTATTCAAGTACACATACAAAACAAAGAATAATACCGATCACACATGCATTTCTTACTACATAGAAGGGAATAAAAGATCTTTCAACAAAATTCGGTACGAAACGTTCTTCTCATATTCATACTTGTATGTTACAGTGCGAAAATAGGCGAACTCGGTCTACAACCACGCCTACTTCCCTTAAAACACAATTTAAAATTCCATCTGATTCTTTCACTTTCTAGTATGAAATGAAACAAAAATGAACGTATCGGAATAAAGCTGTGCACGAATAATGATTTTAACGTATGACCATAAAATTTTCAAATGGAACCAAAACTGTTCAAGCTCATTGGTACCAAATATGTGGACCCCAATAAATGTCCGAAAATATCGGCCAATGTATGAGACATATAATTGAAATTCAGAAATAATCTTTTCGTGATAATAGTATGTATGTTTGTCAAAAATGGGTTGAATCGGGTGAATATTTCCCTTTTTCCGGGTGACTTTATAAAGCATACATCGGCCAATATGTGAGTTACCTCAATGAAAATTAGAGAGCGTAACGTTTAATCATAATAGTATACCTTTGTGTATAAAATGGATGAAATTGAGCCAAAACTTGACCTAGTCCCCATATAACTAATATCAAGATATTCGAAAATGCTGATGACTCTACTCCATATGATTGGTTATGGTATGTGAGGTACCTTCATGAAATCCTGGGAGCATTTTATTAGTCTGTGGCATGTTAGTAGTATGTGTATAGGCAAAAACTGATAAGAATCGGGCTAATACTAACTCCAACTCCCATATACTTTTAATAATGATTTTCGTTATTCTAATAAGTTTTATGGCGCATATGTCGGTCAGTGATTATTATTTATATATACAATTGCTTTAAAATATGTTCTCGAGTATACCTTAGTAATCTAAAAATTAATACAATCAGCCTGTCCTTTTCACTATCGCCAATATACCTCACAAAATGATTTCCGTATTTCCACCTGGCCTTCAATATAAGTAAAGAAGATACGAAATTCGATTGCAATTTATTCACGACTCGAATAATGGATGTTTAATTCTTTTGCAACTTTTTTTAAAATAAAGTTTTGCAAGCACCTGAATTTCCGGGACTTTGATTATTGAAAGTCGCAAGAATATAAACGTTCGTTTACACCCGAACTTAACACTTCCTTACTTGTTGCTAGGTTATAAAAGTTACATACAATACACCGGTAGTGAATCTGTCCTGACAATATTATATATTGTATATTTTTTGCAGGAGTCTCTAGCTCGACAAGTCTGTTTTTTAGTCAGTAGTTCGTTAATTAAAAATTTAAGTTTTTTTTAATCTCACTCACTGAAAATATAATATATAAATTCTGCCATTACAAAAGAACCAAATTTCAGGTGTCTAAAAGTTCAAATGAATAAAATAAAATAGCCGATCGAGAATTTCTACGGAGTTTTGGCCAGGTAAAAACTAAAGTTTGATATTCTTAAATTGACATGAATTACATACTTCGAAGGATAGTATGTGTGAGGTGTCTTGAACAATTCTAAAACATATATATGAAAGCTTGTGGTAATTATAATAGAGTAGATCTTGATGCCGTTTATGAAATATTAAAATATAAATATAATTTTGTTTGCTTTAACGCCTTAGGGTCTAATGTTAGTAAATAACCTCTCAAAATGAAGTTGAATAGTGCAAAACTCATAAGCAGTATATCCGCACACGATCACAATAATTCAATTGTAAATAACCACTTCCTCAAACAAATATGTATACAATAAAATAAGACATTTCACATAAATAATAATTGCACAAGTTTAAGCTCGCATTTAAACTATGAATTTTTCATCATCCTGGTGTTCACTGTTTGCAGATTTTTTTAGTTTTTGTCAACAAAGCTTTTTTTGCCATTTGCTTATTTCGTAATCGATTTGTATGTGCCTATATATATGTACATATATCTCTGTATATACATCTGTACATTAATATATATATATATATATATAGTAGGTATGTATAGTAGCTTGTGTAGACACGATTTTTCCCACTTGAACTTCATCCTGACCAACACAATGGTCGAAGTGGTGGAACGGCATTCAATGGTAGAAATGTGATCGTCAGCAATGGTGTTCACATGTACACATACATTTTAAGATTGAGTGTCGGCAGCTGGTTACCTCATCTGAAGTGCAAGTCCGCGCTGCAAGCACCACGGGGCCGCCAAGCAGCCAGCGTCCAACAAGTTAAACAGCCTATTTTCTATTGCTCACATTTCGTTAGTGTAAGCGAGTTGCAAGTGAGCTTTTGTTGTTGCTACTTTTTCGCAGCACTTCCCCAATTCGAAAACCCACTTC